AAAATTGAACAAAAAAAAAAAAAAGGTTAGCAGTCAATTGGTCAAAAAGCAAATATCATGTTGTTAGATTGTGAGCTGAAAACATCACATTAGATTGAAATTGGGACCATGGAATTCAACTCTAGAGCTATGAAGACGGGATTTGTTCACGTATGATATCAGTCAGTCAGTCAGAAAAATCTCTCATCTTTCTTATGTTGCTTATACACAAAAATTTTATCGAGCCATCAGATTGTTTACATATGGAGTCATCCATCTATTAATATATTGACATATGTTTAAAGAGTACTAGTACAGAGCTCGTGGGTGCACAATTTTAAGATCATTTATCCAGCTTTGTAATTATATAAATGAATAAAGATAAATGTGCGGGAGATATATAGTACGTGACATGTGCGAGGCACGAGATATATATTTATTTGGAGATTATTACACTATAAGATGCAATATTCAATGAAAGTTTTACAATACACGAAAATAAATATAAATAATGTAAATATCTAAATACATACACGATATGTAGAATAAATAAGCCAAATTGTAAATCTGAAAATATAATTTAAAAAATTATCGAAAATATATTTCACTAAACATGTACTAAAATATCTAAATACATACACAAAAATAAAAAAAATATAAAATATACATTTTAAATTTTGAAATTAAAACAAAAATTTCAAATAATTTGGCTTACAGTGTTATCATGCAGAACCAACTCGAGATATGATTTGTATGTGCTGCCCCAGTCTTGGAAAAATATTTTCACAATTTTAACTTGAGCATAGATCTATTAGGCCTATTGACTTGTTTGAATAACCCAAATCCTTGATTCATTGTTTTGAATAAAAGACTGATTGGGGATATTTTTTGTTCGCGGGAGGTTGACAGTGAGAAAGATGATGACTCGATATTTTGAGATTTGTAATTTATAATGGGTAGAGTAGATATATATTGTTGTTAATATTTTTATTAAAAAATCTGTTTTCAGATGAGGGCAAAGGATTAATGAGTCGCCTATATCTGAATATACAGAAATCGGTTTGACAAAATCAGAACAGATTTCCATACAATTTGATTATACATTAGATAATAAATAAAACTTTTTTTATTTTAGTAAAGATTTTACGTACTTTTTTTTTTACTTATCGGATGTTATGGGTT